TATATACTTTTAATATACAAATCAAATAAAGAAATGATGTTTACCTACTAAAAAAAAATAATAATAAAAAATAAAAGATATTTGAAAATTTATCAAATAAAATATTTGTAGTTTTAGGTTTAATTAAAATATTTTATATAGTCAAGAGTTATATAAAATAATACTATTTGACTAAACAATATTAGAATATCTCAATATTATTATTTATTAAAAAAAAATAATATTGTAATATACAAATTTATAATTAATTGGTTATAAACTATTTATTTTTTCTTATATAAAAAAACTTTCAAAAAATAGAATTTGAATTTACTAATGTTTTTTTTTTTTATAAATTAATTACAAACCTAATTTTAATACTGTTATATAAATAAAATAATTTTTTTTTTATATATTTATAATTTAATTAAGTTTGTTTTAATTTAATACTATATATTAACTAACTGGAGCTGTTACTTGATATTGTTATACTTGATTTTTATTCAAGATCTTCAATAACCCTTATCCAATTTTTACTAGTATTTATTCTTGAAATATTGTCCATTCTAAAATAATTCTTGTATTACTATTCTTGTTATTATCTAGTACTGTGTTTTTCATACTGTTAGCCCTATAAAAGTCACATAGTATAGTCACGTACCATGATTATCGCGTCGTATACCCTAGAAATGTGAAGTAGTATTAATAATTAGTATAGAAAATATAGTTATTGAAGCTTACATAACTTACTCATAGTTTGTTTTAGCCCTGATAGTCTATTTTCCCTTAATTGTTTTTAGTAGTAGCAATTATATAAATAGTAATGCCAATGTATGAGCAAAAAGAGAGATAGAAAATCAGAAAAAAAAAAGTAAATAATAAGTAAAATTGAAACACCAAATAAGAAATATTGTAATTAACAACTTACCTTTTCAAGTATACACCATACAAGAAAGGATAATTGCTGCTATAGGATATAGTCCGGGATTATCAAGAGAAGAGCTAGTGTTGGGAAAGAAGAGAAAAGCTTGTTAATAATGAAAAGCCCCAGCTAAATTAGTCTTATACATCTCGACTTACCTTAGTTACGTGAAAATTGGACCAGTGAAGCAACTGACTCGCCATTTTCCAGCCCAACAATACTATTGTTGCTCCAGAACATTTCCTATTTTATTTATTTTGTGGGGAGGTGTTGACTGTAGCATATCATGGTTTTCATATGGTGTTATATAATTGTATTAGAGCTTCAGTCAATGCTTGTACCCATTTGTCAAGATTTGATAGTGAGAAGATACCATCAGTGATACCACATGCTAGCTTTACAACCTGCCATATGTGGTTTATTGGTTTTGAATCATCATTGGGGTGTGGAATAAGGTTGGTTTGTTTGATAATTTGATTAGCCTTTTCTGAAGCTATTGGACATTTAAATATATGTTGTATGCTTTCAGTGCAGAGTTTGCATTGTGAACAGTAGGAATCAGAATATTGGTCTGAATATTGTTAGCAAAGATTTTCTCGTATGGGGAGAGTTTCTGACATGAGTTTGATGTGAAAGGCGATTAGGTCACTATATTTGTTGCTTTGTGTATTCTTCAAGTCTTTGTTAGATTTGTTGATAATTTTAATGTCTTGAGAACTGTAAGAGGAGTCAAATGTTTTTACTACTGATGAGCTTTTCACTATTATATATACTTTGGAGATAAATGTCTTAAAAATCTTAATGATAAAATAATTCAAAACTCTTTGCTATATACTTTTAATGGATTTAAAGCAAATTAACCTTAAATAATAATAATCAGAATTAATATTATTTATTATAAAATAATCTTTTTTAAAAAGTAAAGAAATCCCTTTTAAAATATAATTATCTATTAATTTGGATTTTAAGAACAGATCATTTTGCTGGTATATAAAAAATTCTAGAAATCGTAAGTGCTTCAAACCACAAAATTTGCGAATTTTTACATTTATGAAGGAGTTCTTATGAGAACACCCCTGTCTTTTAATTTTTGGTAAAAAATTATTATTATTTGTTCAGTTAAAAGAAAAACAAAACTTTCTTGTACAAATGAATCTCTGGATTCTATCAATTTATCAAAGCTACAAGTACTTTGCTTAACCTTGCTGTCTATATTAAAATTAGTTGAATAATTTAGATAGTAGTAGTGAAAAAAAACTGATATACTGTATATTGTATTTAAAATATTTATCGACAGACTATTTTTTTTTACATGAGTTGGTAATTATTAATAAAAATGAAAACTATCGTTCAATATTTACTATAATAGACAAAATGATTCTCCTTACTAAAATTTTTCGCAATTTTTGTGATATTTACTTCCTCACTGAGTTATCTATATATGCAGTTATGTTAATTTTGATTCTCGATACATTTAGAATCCCTACGGGAGACCCGTCAGGCAAGGTATAATTAGAGAGATCATTGAATAAGATACCAACCGTCAAAAGAAAAATTTATATACAATATTAGCTAGGAAAAATATTAAATAATGTGTTGGCAATTTGAATGAATGTATATAACTAGCATTTTTTATTATTATAATTAAGAAAAATATATCTTAAACAATAAAATTTGATTATGCTTTTATGGGTGTCTTTTATATTTACAGAACGGTAAATTTGAATTTACAAATATTATTAAAAACATTAGTATACCGTATAAAATGAGTAATATAATGCATATTATACCTGATTATTTTTAGAAATTCAGCTTATCCTACAGTTTTGTCTTCATTTATTTTTAAAATATTAAATATTTTGTCGCCTTCACTACTTCTCTCGGCCTTCTGAACTTGACTTTCCATCCATAAAATACAGTATTTTATCAAATATTATCATTATATGTGATATACTCGACATGTAATAGTGTTTAATCATACCCGTAATCTTAAATTCGAAAGTATAAAGTTAATTATTTGTTTGAAATTTCTTGACAAGAAATTATCAATACTTATTAAAAGATTTCTATGTTATTTATTTAGAAATACTTGCATTATTCCATTAAATGACAATTGATTTATTTTTTATAATATAAGGTTGTAAAATGACCGTTAAATGTTTGTCAAATCAGTATACCCGTAAGTTACGCTATTCACACTTAAAAACTTCATATTTGTTCAAAAATAATTCTATGACTAATAAACTTATTTTTTTTATTTATTGTGTCACTGAAAAAACCGTCAGGTGAAGAAAGTAAAATATTTTTTGTCACGTAATGTTTCTTTGGAAACCACTACATATAAGGGTAAATCAAGAACGTAATGAATTGTTTTTTCTTTCTATTTTATTTTGTCGCTCGGAATTCCAGGACCAATCACTTATATATTTATGGATAAAAATGAATTCCGAGGATTCCCGGGAAACCTTAATACTATTACAGTTAGGAATTTAAATATGCTGATCGTAACATGTACAGTGAAATATCCGAATAACAGCCCTTCAGCTATTTAAACTCGTCGTATGTATTCATAAACTCAGTACTAAAAATTTTTTAGAATGAAAAAAATCTTTATTCAATCACAACTACTACGATACATTAATCCATTAAATTAACCGATAATCCTTCATAATTACCCACAGCCTCACATAGAACGTACCGGTATAAAGAATCACATGATCGCTATTTCGAAAAATAACGTATGTGTGCCTTTAAATTAAGATTCTTTTTTATTTCCTTGGTAAAATGATCCACCTTTAAATTTAATGGTTAGGTTACTAAAAAAATCGAGGAAAACAATTCCTGTATTGAAAAACCATTAAAAGAAGAATATGTAAAGACTATCAATATCAATTACAATGAAATCAATGTATTAGAACATTTGACGAATGGAAGCACGTGTAAAATTAAAAAAGCAATGTGGAATAATGGAATTAAAAAAATAATTGTTGTTTTAAAACTTATGGAAGAAAAATTGAGTGAATCCGAACACACGGAAGTTATCAGAGAAGTATGTATTTGATATTGTTCGTGCTTGATATTATAACTAATTAACGTAAAATTTATAGCTTAAAGTTTATTCTTCGATAAATTCAAAAAACATTCACGAAAATATCATCAGGTTCTATGGATTAAGGTATATTTGATCTAAAAAGGTTATTATTATAAATTTTTTGGTAACGTGACATGACTAACACGTCGGTCATTCGAATTATCCAGTCGATGTATGTACAGTATATTTATACTCCCTGTATGTTTAAAATTACACTAATATATTATTGTATTTAATAACATTTGTTAATTTTTTAGCACTAGATGGGTATATAATGGTCCTGGAATATGCCGAGTTAGGTGATCTACGTAGATATTTAACGGCTAAGTATTCTGAAATCACATGGGAACAAAAGATCGACATTAGCAGACAAGTCGCGTGTGGACTAAGCTTTCTGCACGCCAATTGCATTTTGCATAGAGATCTGGTAACAGCATACTTATCTGTCAGATTTATTATTATTATTATTTTGCAATAAATTTACGCATCTGTCATACATTTATTTTTAAGCATACAAAAAATATAGTTTTATCGACGTGCGATGAAAATTGCAATAGGATTAAGGTGAAAATAACCGACTATGGGATGTCAAAAGATTTATCTCGTAAAAGTTTGACAATCTCGGTAGTTAAAGGTTTAGTAGCATTTCTAGACCCGATAGTCCTGAGTGGAAATAGTTATGCGAATTTTACGGAAAGATCGGATATATATAGCTTGGGCGTGGTACTGTGGGAGATATCGAGTGAGATACCACCATTTAAAGATCGGAATTATTATAGTCTTTCCTTATCTTTATTAAGGGGTGAAAGAGAGAAACCGATACAGTATACTCCGTGTAAATACATAGAGACTTATCAAAAATGTTGGGCCAAAGATCCTAATCAACGTTCAGATGCCAATTACGTTTATAAAGAACTTAATGAAGAAACAATAATCACAGGATCTGTTTTTAGAAATGAGGAAAAATGTTGTGATAATTATCCTCATAATTTATCTACTTTCGAAAACATGTTAGAAAACTCAGGTATTAAACTTGATTCTACACCTAAATATGCTTCGACACTTATTATTTTAAATTTGTAGGAATTATAACCGACTCTTTATCAGATTTAAATATAAACAGTATGGTTATATTTAAATAGTAATTATACTTAGAATTATTAAAAATTTAATTATAATATTTACTTTGTAGAACAAATTGCCGATTTACAATTGGAAGAACTTCTTCAAGGAATAGAAAACCAATGTACCAATCAATCTAGTAAGTACTATGCAATTTATGATTTTTTTTTTCTCTCATTCTTACAACCGGTTTTTTATTTAGCCAGCGAAATAATGAAATCAATTAAGCAAAATGCGCCTACCTTATTTGCTAAATTAATAGATTCAGATAGCTCTATTGCTCGTAAAAACATGACTGTGTCCCCTAAACTCGATCTCTTGTGTCTTCTTTTTCTTCTTTCCTTTGGTATTTACATAACTATTGACACAATGACGTGATTAAACGACTAAAAATATACTACTTCGGTAGTTGTGAGATATATATATACTGTACATATAAATTATAATAAGGTTTAAGGAATGATATATATTCTGTAGCCTTAAATATTTTTTTCAAAATTAAACTAAATAGAGTTTCTACAGTTCACTGGCAGCGATATAAGAAAGCAATAGTAGAATGCATTGCCCGTAGATTATGTTTTATTACTATAGAAAAAATATTAAAATAAATGTGTAAAGAATAATGTAAGAAAATTTTAAGTCTAGTTATTTCGCATTTTTATGCATGACGCATCTTCACAATTATCTTTTAATATTCCTGTTTATTAAGGTGTCTTGATTTCCTCATTTCATTAAAATAAATTCCATATTATCGAATCATAAATAAATAAATATATATATATAATATTTTAAAAATTAAATCAATCAATTAAAATAATATAAAAATAATCTATAATTAAGTACAAAGTTTTTTGATTAAAATAATAGATTAAAAGTTCACATACCCATTCTTGAAAGCGTAAAAAAAAGTTATTGAAATATACTGCATAATGAATTCATTAAATAGATATTTATAGACTCTTTTTTTTTCTTCAATAATTTTTCATAATTCATATTAGAATTAAATTTTTATAAAAAATTGAAAAAATTAAATCGACTTTACAAAAAAAAAAATTAAAATTCAATATTAAATCAATGTATTTCTATTATATCTTTTTTTGATTATAACGACAGGTAATTATGTTAAAGTAATTTTAAAAATTAAAGATTATATACTTTACAGCAAGTAAAAAAATAAAACAAAAATACCTAGACGATGCATCTTTATGACTTTTATCCTACATGTGTCTCATATGCTTGCAGCAGTTTTTTAAATTTCAAATTTAGGTTAATTAGAAAGTTATCAACATTATCCACTATTTACATACGCATATACTGTAAATTGAGCTACGGAGAGATTTAACGATGACAATGAATGAATAAGAATGGTAGGGATTTATTATATTTATATTTATAGTATATGTACTGTATGTCTTTTTTTTAATACGCATTGAAGGAAATTTGATTATAAAAAGGTCAAAAACAATTGATTACATAATCAGTTATCGTTATTGCACAAGATACACATTCATAACGGCTCGACTAAAATATATAATAATAAATATAAGAAAAGAAAAAGAAAAAAAAATTAATTAATATTAATCTTAAAATGTTTATCTATATATGAAAATGGCGCGCAAGAGCTCTGAAATTTAGTGAAGATAATAAAATAAAAATAAGGAAAAGGAAAGGAAGAAAAATATAAAAATATATTTGATGTATTTAAACTCGGTTAAAGAAAATACCAAGCTTTCATGGGTGGACAAATCCGTTTGTTCTATTAATTTATTAAAGTAAAATAAAATAACCATATAAATGATTAATAATAGTAATAAGAAACAATAACCTAATATATTGTACTTACGGAATTGTTCGATAAACCGTTTTTCTACATAAATTGATGATAATTAGCAATGTAAAAAAAAATCAAAACGAAGAATTACCTATAGAATAAGTAATATTTGTTAAGAAGGATATCTCGATAAAATCATACCATTGTTAGTATAATCTAATATGAATCCTATAAATAAGTGTCAAAATAAAATAAGTATTAAAGCATTTGTATATTTATTAGAATAGTTTTATCCATACTTAAATTATCCGATGCATATTTGAGATCGGATGAACTATGAGGATGATCATCACAACATTTTTGTTGTTCTTCAAACAGGATTCTCGTGATTATTATTTCTTCGCTAAGGTTTTCATATAGGTAATTATGTTGATTTGGATTATCGATACATTCTAGAATTATTACGGGTGACCCATCAGGCACTATAGTGTAAAATATAGTTAAATAGTATTAATTAATAGAAATACTATCTTTAAAAAAAAAAATGCTATTGTTGGGGTGATAACGGCGAGTCTGTCGCTACGTCGCGATCGCCGATCGTGTAACGTCGAAAGAGGCGTGGAGA